TGCTGCTGTGACTGTCCTATTCCACCCAGAGGCTACTCCACCTCTGCTGCTGTGACTGTCCTGCTCCACCCAGAGGCTACTCCACCTCTGCTGCTGTGACCTGTCCTGCTCCACCCAGAGGCTACTCCACCTCTGCTGCTGTGACTGTCCTATTCCACCCAGAGGCTACTCCACCTCTGCTGCTGTGACCTGTCCTGCTCCACCCAGAGGCTACTCCACCTCTGCTGCTGTGACTGTCCTGCTCCACCCAGAGGCTACTCCACCTCTGCTGCTGTGACCTGTCCTGCTCCACCCAGAGGCTACACCACCTCTGCTGCTGTGACCTGTCCTGCTCCACCCAGAGGCTACTCCACCTCTGCTGCTGTGACTGTCCTGCTCCACCCAGAGGCTACTCCACCTCTGCTGCTGTGACCTGTCCTGCTCCACCCAGAGGCTACTCCACCTCTGCTGCTGTGACTGTCCTGCTCCACCCAGAGGCTACTCCACCTCTGCTGCTGTGACATGTCCTGCTCCACCCAGAGGCTACTCCACCTCTGCTGCTGTGACTGTCCTGCTTCCACCCAGAGGCTACTCCACCTCTGCTGCTGTGACCTGTCCTGCTCCACCCAGAGGCTACTCCACCTCTGCTTCTGTGACCTGTCCTGCTCCACCCAGAGGCTACTCCACCTCTGCTGCTGTGACCTGTCCTGCTCCACCCAGAGGCTACTCCACCTCTGCTGCTGTGACCCGTCCTGCTCCACCCAGAGGCTACTCCACCTCTGCTGCTGTGACCCGTCCTGCTCCACCCAGAGGCTACTCCACCTCTGCTTCTGTGACCTGTCCTGCTCCACCCAGAGGCTACTCCACCTCTGCTGCTGTGACCTGTCCTGCTCCACCCAGAGGCTACTCCACCTCTGCTGCTGTGACCCGTCCTGCTCCACCCAGAGGCTACTCCACCTCTGCTGCTGTGACCTGTCCTGCTCCACCCAGAGGCTTCTCCACCTCTGCTGCTGTGACCCGTCCTGCTCCACTAAATAAAGTATCTATCAACAGGTTCTGCCCCGTTGTCTGCTGTCGTGACGCTAATGTGAATGATAATGTGGGTATGTATTACAACACAACACTACACAACACAACACAACACAACACAGTGTATTCTTGTATTTCCCTAAATCACAGCAGCATCATCTCAGACACTGAACAAAACCATTGAAATCACAGATCAGAGAATCAACAGTTAACACACATAATATACACATATGTTTTGGTCCATGGAGAGACCAATGTCCATGAATGTTTATAAATGTCATACATACTGAGGTGACTTTATATAACAGCAGTATGTGTTCACGGAGGTGACTTTATATAACAGCAGTATGTGTTCACGAAGGTGACTTTATATAACAGCAGTATGTGTTCACGGAGGTGACTTTATATAACAGTAGTATGTGTTCACGGAGGTGACTTTATATAACAGCAGTATGTGATCACGGTGACTTTATATAACAGCAGTATGTGTTCACGGAGGTGACTTTATATAACAGCAGTATGTGTTCACGGAGGTGACTTTATATAACAGCAGTATGTGTTCACGGAGGTGACTTTATATAACAGTAGTATGTGTTCACGGAGGTGACTTTATATAACAGCAGTATGTGATCACGGAGGTGACTTTATATAACAGCAGTATGTGTTCACGGAGGTGACTTTATATAACAGCAGTATGTGATCACGGTGACTTTATATAACAGCAGTATGTGTTCACGGAGGTGACTTTATATAACAGCAGTATGTGTTCACGGTGACTTTATATAACAGCAGTATGTGTTCACGGAGGTGACTTTATATAACAGCAGTATGTGATCACGGAGGTGACTTTATATAACAGCAGTATGTGTTCACGGAGGTGACTTTATATAACAGCAGTATGTGATCACGGTGACTTTATATAACAGCAGTATGTGTTCACGGAGGTGACTTTAATAGATTATAAAGAATGTCTAAAGTCAGTCACAGCTTTAAAAAAGTCTTAACTGTTTGAACTCAGAGAATAGACACTAGTCTCTACAACGGAGGCGGGGGGAGAGGGGAGGGGGAGAGGGAGGGGGGGGGGGGGGAGGGGGGGGGAGAGGGGGGGGGGGGGGGGGGGGGGGGGGGAGGGGGGGGAGAGGGGAGGGGAGGGAGGGGAGGGGGAGGGAGGGGAGGGGAGGGGAGGGGCCTTTGTCCTGCTCCACATTCTTGAGGCCATTGTGAACGGGACGCAGTATTTAAAACTTGTTCTCAGTTTTCAGCTACAACAGACTGATGTGTTTTCTAAAGATCAGGAAATCTAAATTATAACGACGGAGACAAAGTGCCTCAGCTTTAAGTTATTAATTAATTAATTTCACAGAGACAATGTATTAATTTATTTATTTCACAGAGACAATGTATTTATTTATTTATTTCACAGAGACAATGTGTTTATTTATTTATTTCACAGAGACAATGTATTTATTTATTTATTTCACAGAGACAATGTATTTATTTATTTATTTCACAGAGACAATGTGTTTATTTATTTATTTCACAGAGACAATGTATTTATTTATTTATTTCACAGAGACAATGCACATTAATGAACATCGGTATAAAACAAATGGAAATATGCCGGATTATAGCCACCATGCTAGTCTTCATCCGCGGTCCCTCGGCAGGAAAATACAACACACAATACAATAAATACAAAATAACACAATACAGACAGCACAGGGACAAGTTCAGAGTCTGTGGTCACATGGTTTCTGTTCACCCATGGTTTGATGAGTTTAAAGTAGACCAGTGCAGGACTCTCCTGTAAGTGCAGAGGGAGACTGTTCCAGACGTTCATGGTCCTCACAGAGAGCTCTGTCAACGGTAATTCTTCTGAAGGGACCTCACGAGACTGGGCTCACAGAGACTACTGCCTCTGTCTGGTCTCTCTCTGGTCTCTCTCTGGTCTCTCCCTCTGGTCTCTCTCTGGTCTCTCTCTGGTCTCTCTCTGGTCTCTCTCTGGTCTCTCTCTGGTCTCTCTCTGGTCTCTCTCTGGTCTCTCTCTCTGGTCTCTCTCTGGTCTCTCTCTGGTCTCTCTCTGGTCTCTCTCTGGTCTCTCTCTGGTCTCTCTCTCTGGTCTCTCTCTGGTCTCTGTCTGGTCTCTCTCTGGTCTCTCTCTGGTCTCTCTCTGGCCTCTCTCTGGTCTCTCTCTCTGGTCTCTCTCTGGTCTCTCTCTGGTCTCTCTCTGGTCTCTCTCTGGTCTCTCTCGCTGGTCTCTCTCTGGTCTCTCTCTGGTCTCTCTCTGGTCTCTCTCTGGTCTCTCTCTGGTCTCTCTCTCTGGTCTCTCTCTGGTCTCTCTCTCTCTCTCTCTGGTCTCTCTCTGGTCTCTCTCGCTGGTCTCTCTCTGGTCTCTCTCTGGTCTCTCTCTGGTCTCTCTCTGGTCTCTCTCTGGTCTCTCCCTCTGGTCTCTCTCTGGTCTCTCTCTGGTCTCTCTCTGGTCTCTCTCTGGTCTCTCTCTCTGGTCTCTCTCTGGTCTCTCTCTGGTCTCTCTCTGGTCTCTCTCTGGTCTCTCTCTGGTCTCTCTCTGGTCTCTCTCTCTGGTCTCTCTCTGGTCTCCCTCTGGTCTCTCTCTGGTCTCTCTCTCTGGTCTCTCTCTGGTCTCTCTCTCTGGTCTCTCTCTGGTCTCTCTCTCTGGTCTCTCTCTGGTCTCTCTCTGGTCTCTCTCTGGTCTCTCTCTGGTCTCTCCCTCTGGTCTCTCTCTGGTCCCTCTCTGGTCTCTCTCTGGTCTCTCTCTGGTCTCTCTCTGGTCTCTCTCTCTGGTCTCTCTCTGGCCTCTCTCTCTGGTCTCTCTCTGGTCTCTCTCTCTGGTCTCTCTCTCTGGTCTCTCTCTCTGGTCTCTCTCTGGTCTCTCTCTCTGGTCTCTCTCTCTGGTCTCTCTCTCTGGTGTCTCTCTGGTCCCTGGTATCTTTACAGCTATTGGCCCAAAGTGGCCCACCTCCTCGCGATGACTGACAGAGAGCCCGCCTCTTGGAAATGATTGACATGGGGAGAAGTCTAAAGCAGCGAATCAGAGCATGCGGCCTCTCTCTGAGTCCAGTCGATGGTCCATAGACTGTAAATATGAAGAAGAGTGTGATATGGGACCTTTAAGCAGACCTAGAATCTGGAACAGTCTTCCTGAAGATGTGAGACGGACAAAGAACCTTTTAAGTCTTAAACATGAACAAGGGAAGATGATATTTTAAGGTTTGACTCAAAATCAAATGAAACTGGACTCAAACAGGAAGTCCCTCTGCCGCCGTCTGTCCACCATCTTGTTCTTCACCTCTGACCTTTGCAGCCACAACTCGTGACCCCTGAGCCCCCCCTCCACTATGGAGAGAGACCAGAGAGGGACCAGAGAGAGAGACCAGAGAGAGACCAGAGAGGGACCAGAGAGAGACCAGAGAGAAACCAGAGAGAGAGACCAGAGAGAGACCAGAGAGAGACCAGAGAGAGACCAGAGAGGGACCAGAGAGAGACCAGAGAGAGACCAGAGGAGAGACCAGAGGAGACCAGAGAGGAGACCAGAGAGAGACCAGAGAGAGACCAGAGGGAGACCAGAGAGAGACCAGACCAGAGGGAGACCAGAGAGAGACCAGAGAGAGACCAGAGAGAGAGACCAGAGAGAGACCAGAGGAGAGACCAGAGAGAGACCAGAGAGAGACCAGAGAGAGACCAGAGAGAGACCAGAGAGAGACCAGAGAGAGACCAGAGGGAGACCAGACAGAGACCAGAGAGAGACCAGAGAGAGACTAGAGGGAGACCATAGGGAGACCAGAGAGAGACCAGAGAGAGACTAGAGGGAGACCATAGGGAGACCAGAGAGAGACCAGAGAGAGACTAGAGGGAGACCAGAGAGAGACCAGAGAGAGAGACTAGAGTGAGACCAGAGAGAGACCAGAGAGAGACCAGAGAGAGACCAGAGAGAGACCAGAGGGAGACCAGAGAGAGACCAGAGAGAGACCAGAGAGAGACCAGAGGGAGACCAGAGAGAGACCAGAGAGAGACCAGAGAGAGACCAGAGAGAGACCAGAGAGAGACCAGAGGGAGACCAGAGAGAGACCAGAGGGAGACCAGAGAGAGACCAGAGGGAGACCAGAGAGAGACCAGAGGGAGACCAGAGAGAGACCAGAGAGAGACCAGAGGGAGACCAGAGGGAGACCAGAGGGAGACCAGAGGGAGACCAGAGAGAGACCAGAGAGAGACCAGAGGGAGACCAGAGGGAGACCAGAGGGAGACCAGAGAGAGACCAGAGGGGGACCAGAGAGAGACCAGAGAGAGACCAGAGAGAGACCAGAGAGAGACCAGAGGGAGACCAGAGAGAGAGACCAGAGGGAGACCAGAGAGAGACCAGAGAGAGAGAGAGAGACCAGAGAGAGAGACCAGAGAGAGAGACCAGAGTGAGAGACCAGAGAGAGAGACCAGAGAGAGACCAGAGAGAGACCAGAGAGAGACCAGAGAGAGAGACCAGAGAGAGAAACCAGAGAGAGACCAGAGAGAGAGACCAGAGAGAGACCAGAGAGAGACCAGAGAGAGAGACCAGAGAGAGACCAGAGAGAGAGACCAGAGAGAGACCAGAGAGAGACCAGAGAGAGAGACCAGAGAGAGAGACCAGAGAGAGAGACCAGAGAGAGAGACCAGAGAGAGACCAGAGAGAGACCAGAGAGAGACCAGAGAGAGACCAGAGAGAGACCAGAGAGAGACCAGAGAGAGAGACCAGAGAGAGAGACCGAGAGAGAGACCAGAGAGAGACCAGAGAGAGACCAGAGAGAGACCAGAGAGAGACCAGAGAGAGACCAGAGAGAGACCAGAGAGAGACCAGAGAGAGACCAGAGAGAGAGACCAGAGAGAGAGACCAGAGAGAGAGACCAGAGAGAGAGACCAGAGAGAGAGACCAGAGAGAGACCAGAGAGAGACCAGAGAGAGACCAGAGAGAGAGACCAAGAGAGAGACCAGAGAGAGAGACCAGAGAGAGACCAGAGAGAGAGACCAGAGAGAGACCAGAGAGAGACCAGAAGAGAGAGAGAGACCAGAGAGAGAGACCAGAGAGAGAAACCAGAGAGAGACCAGAGAGAGAGACCAGAGAGAGAGACCAGAGAGAGAGACCAGAGAGAGACCAGAGAGAGAGACCAGAGAGAGACCAGAGAGAGACCAGAGAGAGAGACCAGAGAGAGACCAGAGAGAGAGACCAAGAGAGACCAGAGAGAGACCAGAGAGAGACCAGAGAGAGACCAGAGAGAGACCAGAGAGAGACCAGAGAGAGACCAGAGACAGAGAGACCAGAGAGAGACCAAGAGAGAGACCAGAGAGAGACCAGAGAGAGACCAGAGAGAGACCAGAGAGAGAGACCAGAGAGAGAAACCAGAGTGAGACCAGAGAGAGAGACCAGAGAGAGACCAGAGAGAGACCAGAGAGAGAGACCAGAGAGAGAGACCAGAGAGAGACCAGAGAGAGACCAGAGAGAAAGACCAGAGAGAGAGACCAGAGAGAGACCAGAGAGAGAGACCAGAGAGAGACCAGAGAGAGACCAGAGAGAGACCAGAGAGAGAGACCAGAGAGAGAAACCAGAGTGAGACCAGAGAGAGAGACCAGAGAGACCAGAGAGATATTTGTAAATCGTGTTTCCCTCAAGTCCTGTAAAACCAGCTGTTCCGTTCCCAGCACATAAGCGTTAAAGATCTAATAACAACATGTATTTAAACGGCAACAAACTCTCCAACTCCATACAATACTGGGTTGCCGTTGGTGACCATAGCAACGGTTGCCATGACAACTCCTTCAGAATCATTACATCATCGAATAGAACCTTTAGAGGCTTTGTTAGGAGTAGACCAGAACATCCACCTAACCAAACTCAGAGAGAGACAGAGGGGAATAACTTTATTATCTATAAGTGACCGTATCTGTAGCTATTACGATGAGTTCTGCTTTAGGCCTTCCAAAACCAGGGGCTCTACCAAAACTGCCTCCCATCAAGTCCGGTCTGCTGGGACTACTGCCCCAACTGGGCACCAACTTCCAGGGCCTTCTGTGCCAAGACGCCAAGAACCACAAACGGAGAAGTAAGAAAAAGCGTTTAACGTTGACTCCAATGGAGAAAGAGGAGCACCTGCAGGGAGCACATCCAGAAACTACCAAAGATATTATAGGAAAGAATAATGCTGAGAATGGGCAATTATCATTCCAAAAACATAAAGCAGTATCAGAGTTGGAAGAAGATGTAGAGTCAGAGGACCTTTTGACGGTCAGCACTCTTCTTCCACCACTGCCTTCACTTCCACGGGACAAAGTCGGCCGACAAAAGAGCAACGACCAAAAGATAAGTTTTGTTCCAATGAAAAAGAAAGAACAAGAGTTTGATATGGAAACTGCACAACCAGAGAAAAGGCCTCGCTCTTTCCTAAAATCCAGACCCAAATCGTCTCAAGAAAGTGACGTCAAGAGAGACACGAGTGAAGACGACTTTTTGGAGCTTTTAGAATCCATGAACATTGACATTGCAGATCTTGCAGATGTTCTACAGGATGCATCAGCCTCAGAAGGAGAAATAATATGTCAGGCTTCTTCTCCACAACATGACGAGACGGATCATGAGGCCGGTCTAGCCTTTCTGAACACTTCTCTGGACCAAAGCTATGAAGAATGGTTGAAACTCCAACCCAACACTGGAGCACTTGTGTCCGGGTGTGATTTGGAATCCGACAGTGAGAAGCCTGCACCGACAGCGACATCTCCAGTGAGTTCAGAAGCATTCAACAAGTCTCAGGATGAGCTGGAGAAGTTCGAAAAGGAGGAGGAGGAACGCCTGGAGGCCGAGAGGAAAGACAGACTTGAGTCTCCGCAAGGAAAAAGGCAAGCGGAAGAGAAAAGGATGAAGGAAGAATCTGCAAAAGAGTTAGAAGAACTCCAAGAGACTCTCAAAGCAGATTGCAAACGGCAAGAGCTTGAAATACGGAAAGAAAACACTGCTATACTTGAAATAAAGTCCAGTCTGCTGGGATCACTGCCCACACTGGGCACCAACTTCCAGGGCCGTCTGTGCCAAGATGGTAAGAACCCAGGAGAAGTCCGTAAACCGAAAAGCAAGAAAAAGCATGTGACGTTTGCTCCGATGGAGAAGAAAGAACAAGGGTTTGATATGGAAACTGCACAATCAGAGAAAAGGCCTCGCTCTTTCCTAAAATCAAGACCCAAATTGTCTCAAGAACGTGACGACGTCAAGAGAGATGAGACAAGTGAAGACGACGGATTGGACCTTTTTGAGTCCATGAACCTTCATATTGACATTGCAGATCTTGCAGATGTTCTACAGGATGGATCAGCCTCAGAGGGAGAAATAATATGTCAGGCTTCTTCACCACAACATGACGAGGCGGATCATGAGGCCGGTCTAGACTTTCTGAACACTTCTCTGGACCAAAGTCATGAAGAATGGTTGAAACTCCAATCCAACACTGGAGCACCAGGAGGTCATGTATCTCAGGAAGAAAGCTCAGAGCTGGGGTTAGTTGGTCCGACTCCTTCAAGTCACAGTCCACTGCCACCTTCACCAACTCCTTTATCATGAATGGAAGATGAGATTCTGACAAACGTAAGTGCTGAGTCCATGTATGAATCTGATTTTGAATCCGACAGTGAGAAGCCTGCACCTACAGCGACATCTCCAGTGAGTTCAGAAGCATTCAACAAGTGTCAGGATGAGCTGGAGAAGTTCGAAAGGGAGGAGGAGGAACGCCTGCAGGCCGAGAGCAAAGACAGACTTGAGTCTCTGCATCAGTCACTGTTGGAAAAAAGGGAAGCAGAAGAGAAAAGGATGAAGGAAGAATCTGAGAAAGCGTTAGAAGACCTTCAAGAAACCCTCAAAGCCGATAGAAAACGGCTAGAACGTGAAATACGGGAAGAAAATAACATTATTCTTGAGAAGGTGAAGACTGAGTTGAAAGAAGAAGTGACCAAAAATGTTCAAAAACTCAAAGCTCGTAAGAAGAAAGGATTGGAACATCTGCAGGCGGAGCTCGAGGTGGAGCTGACGTCAGAGAAAGAGAGATTGCAGACACTGAAGGCCAAACAACAGGACTCGTTGATGCGAGAAAGCAGAGAGTCTTTCACATCTGTACGCCAGGAAGTGGAGCAGGAACAGAGGCGTACGTTGGAGCGTCTGAGCGAAGATCACGAGAAAGAGATCAGAAAGCTCCAAGAAAAACACTCCGAGGAAAAGGATCTTCTGGAGGAGCAGCTTCTTTCTCGCTTCAACCAGGAGAAGGAACAATCGGCCAAAAAGTTGGAAGAGCTTCAAGAAAACCTTAAAGCCGATAGAAAACGGCAAGAACTTGAAATACAGAAAGAAAATAACACTATTCTTGAGAAGGTGAAGACTGACCTGAAAGAAGAACTGGCCAAAACTGTTCAGAAACTTAAAGCTCGTAAGAAGAAACGATTGGATCATCTGCAGGCGGAGCTCGAGGTGGAGCTGACGTCAGAGAAAGAGTCTTTCACATCTGTACGTCAGGAAATGGAGCAGGAACAGAGGCGTACGTTGGAGCGTCTGAGAGAAGATCACGGGAAAGAGATCAGAAAACTCCAAGAGGAAAAGGATCTTCTAAAGGAGCAGCTACTTTCTTGCCTCAACCGGGAGAAGGAAGAATCTGCAAAAAAGTTGGAAGAGCTTCAAGAAACCCTCAAAGCCGAACGAGAACGGCAGGAACGTGAAACACGGGAAGAAAATGACTCTATTGTTGAGAAAGTGAAGACTGACCTGAAAGTAGAATTGGCCAAAACCGTAGAGAAACTCAAAGTTCGTAAGAAGAAACGATTGGAACATCTGCAGGCGGAGCTCGAGGTGGAGCTGACGTCAGAGAAAGAGAGATTGCAGACACTGAAGGCCAAACAACCGGACTCGTTGATGCGAGAAAGCAGAGAGTCTTTCACATCTGTACGCCAGGAAGTGGAGCAGGAACAGAGGCGTACGTTGGAGCGTCTGAGCGAAGATCACGAGAAAGAGATCAGAAAGCTCCAAGAAAAACACTCAGAGGAAAAGGATCTTCTGGAGGAGCAGCTTCTTTCTCGCTTCAACCAGGAGAAGGAACAGCGAGAGGAGTGTCTCACTCTCCGTCTGCAGGAACTGGACTTTCGACATGAGGCCGAAGTTCTAAAAAGGCAACGGGAAAACTCAGACAAGATGTTGGAGCTGAAGGAGTTGCCGACCGAGCTGGAGGTGAGGCATAACCATCTGGAGAGCCAAGACGCCGGGCTCAAGGCGAAGGTGGAGAGGCTGTGTCAGAGAATGAGTTATTTAGAAGAAAAAGACAAAGCAGAAGAGAGAAAGTCTTTTCCCACACTTAAGAAGGAGGTGGAAAGAGAACATCGGTACGTGACATCAGACTGTCGATGTGACGTTTCTCTGGAGCTTCTGGAGAAGACCAACGACGAGCTGAGAACTTGTCGCCAGAAGAGAGAGAACCTGGTGACGATGGTGGACCAGCTGCAGAGACGGTCCGACAGACTGAGCTTCACAATGAACCAGTTTGAGACCAGTTCCTTACGATCAGACGTGAAACACTCTTCCAGGTTCAGTGAGGAGCCGGACCATATGGGGTCTCCTCCTCTGTCCAGTCAAGTTGACGTCCACCACAGAACCAGACTCTTCCTGAAGTTAGAAGCAGACAGACTGGAGAGAGAGAACTCGAGGTGGAGAGAGTCGCAAACACCAAGTTCAAGGTTCTTGTCCTCGTGGAGTAAATACAGGACCGAGAATGCACACAGCGGCATCGCGGATCTAAGCAGCAGAGGTTACAACTATTAAACCTGCAGTTACTTAGGCCTAAACCAAAGGATATGAAAGAGGCACGAGAGCAGGGGTCCACATGGTATTGGACCATAGGGAGAGACCACATGGTATTGGACCATAGGGAGAGACGACATGGTATTGGTCCATAGCGAGAGACCACATGGTATTGGACCATAGGGAAAGACCACATGGTATTGGTCCATAGGGAGAGACCACATGGTATTGGTCCATAGGGAAAGACCACATGGTATTGGACCATAGGGAGAGACCACATGGTATTGGTCCATAGGGAGAGACCACATGGTATTGGACCATAGGGAAAGACCACATGGTATTGGACCATAGGGAGAGACCACATGGTATTGGTCCATAGGGAGAAACCACATGGTATTGGACCATAGGGAAAGACCACATGGTATTGGACCATATGGAAAGACCACATGGTATTGGACCATAGGGAGAGACCACATGGTATTGGACCATAGGGAGAGACCACATGGTATTGGTCCATAGGGAGAGACCACATGGTATTGGTCCATAGGGAAAGACCACATGGTATTGGTCCATAGGGAGAAACCACATGGTATTGGACCATAGGGAAAGACCACATGGTATTGGACCATAGGGAAAGACCACATGGTATTGGATCATAGGGAGAGACCACATGGTATTGGACCATAGGGAGAGACCACATGGTATTGGTCCATAGGGAGAGACCATGTCCGTACATGTAGAGTGTCCTGGATCATCACCAAGATCATTAGTTAAATTTTAAGCCCTTTGGGGAGCTACCTGAAAGGGGCTGGTGAGCTACTGGTAGCTCCCGTGCCATAGGTTGGAAACCCCTGCACTAGAGAGACACCTACAGAGGCCACACCAGCAGAGGGGAAACCATAAAGACTAGTGTTGGTCTCGTACAGACTAGTGTTGGTCTCATACAGACTTTCAAGACCATATGGCGCTAAAGTTGTTGGCTAGCTACATTGACCCTGAAAGAGGAAACACACAAACTGAAACCATACAAACCAGAATGAAAACCATGGATGAGTTGATGGTATGGTCTGGATCCTCCGGGTTCAGACCTTGAAGTCCTACAGCAGTGATGCTCTTCTGGTCCACAGGGTTGGGAAAGTCTCCTCAGGGAGCGGTCCCGGCTCGGTGGACAGTCCTGCATCACCGCGGCACACATACCGGACCCGAGGGACGCACACACACACACACACACACACACACACACACACACACACACACACACACACACACACACACACACACACACACACACACACACACACACACACACACACACACCAGTGGCGGCTGGTGGAATTTTCTACTGGGGGGGCTATGAATATGATGACTAGATATAAATGCACCACAGAATTTGACACAGTCTATTATTTTTGATAGGATGTGCCTATTCTTGTCAACCTCCTCATTGTGCTTTCTGATCCCTACCCTGTAGCTTTCATCCAGCTGGGATGAAATATTTATCTTCCCAAACATAGCTAATTTGAGGGCGTTTTGCATGTGGATACCAGTCTGCTCATGCTTCTTTTCTAAAAAGTGCTTCAGATCAGTCATACCTGTCTTGATCCATGCTGGGTCAGATCCTGATGTTTGAAACAAGAGGCATGGAAAGCAAAATAAAGCATTAGCCTCGCTACATGCTGCTAGCCAAGATTTGGCGCTGAACCAGGTCCTGGAAAAAGTACGAGTACCGTCTCCCCCTGTCGCTGGACTGCTGACTAATGGTAATATTTGGCTGATCAGGTCCAAGCTCTTTAACCTCAACCTTCTCCTGGTATGATCTTCTCTCAAACGGTATTGTTTTGAGTGATCTAACTGAATTATTATTTTTCTCGTTCTCCATTTTGCGTCTCTTTACGTTCGTCTCAAACTCCCACAGCTTGACCTGTCAATCACTGTAAACGGACGTCACAGACAGTGACAGTACAGGTCGCGGGCGATCCCGCCCCCTCAGGGCGCACTTCTCCTGCGCCCCCAAATCGTCTTATCTCTTGCATTGAAGAGGAGCTACTGCGCATGTACAACTTTTAACGAGAGTCCATAGACGGCGGAAATACGTCCTCAGTCCGACACAGACAACGCTGATGAGCTTAATCAATCCAACTCAGCATAAACTATAAAGTATTTCTTCCACATCTGAAATAAAACACACATACATTTCGAAATATTTTAATGTTATTATTTTTTTTAACGTTTTATTCAAGATAACATGGCAAGTTGTGAGTGGTGGGGCGGCGCCCTAGCGCCCTCTATTGGCCGGCCGCCACTGACACACACACACACACACACACACACAGACACACACACACACACACACACAGGTTGTAAGAGTGATTCCAGATTCCAACAGCTCTGAAATAAATAAAAACTTAGCCGAAATCTTTGGTCTTTGTCGTGTTTTTTTGCCCTTTCACCTCAGCTTTGCCCTGGTCTTACCATGTGTAACCTCTGGTCCATGATCATCTCCTACATGTACGTCTGGTCTTACCATGTGTAACCTCTGGTCCATGATCATCTCCTACATGTACGTCTGGTCTTACCATGTGTAAACTCTGGTCCATGATCATCTCCTACATGTACGTCTGGTCTTACCATGTGTAAACTCTGGTCCATGATCATCTCCTACATGTACGTCTGGTCTTACCATGTGTAAACTCTGGTCCATGATCATCTCCTACATGTACGTCTGGTCTTACCATGTGTAACCTCTGGTCCATGATAATCTCCTACATGTACGTCTGGTCTTACCATGTGTAAACTCTGGTCCATGATCATCTCCTACATGTACGTCTGGTCTTACCATGTGTAAACTCTGGTCCATGATCATCTCCTACATGTACGTCTGGTCTTACCATGTGTAAACTCTGGTCCATGATCATCTCCTACATGTACGTCTGGTCTTACCATGTGTAACCTCTGGTCCATGATCATTTCCTACATGTACGTCTGGTCTTACCATGTGTAACCTCTGGTCCATGATCATCTCCTACATGTACGTCTGGTCTTACCATGTGTAAACTCTGGTCCATGATCATCTCCTACATGTACGTCTGGTCTTACCATGTGTAAACTCTGGTCCATGATCATCTCCTACATGTACGTCTGGTCTTACCATGTGTAAACTCTGGTCTATGATCATCTCCTACATGTACGTCTGGTCTTACCATGTGTAAACTCTGGTCCATGATCATTTCCTACATGTACGTCTGGTCTTACCATGTGTAAACTCTGGTCCATGATCATTTCCTACATGTACGTCTGGTCTTACCATGTGTAAACTCTGGTCCCTGATCATCTCCTACATGTACGTCTGGTCTTACCATGTGTAAACTCTGGTCCATGATCATATCCTACATGTACGTCTGGTCTTACCATGTGTAAACTCTGGTCCATGATCATCTCCTACATGTACGTCTGGTCTTACCATGTGTAAACTCTGGACCATGGAGACTGTGATAGTAAAATAATCTGTTCTGGTTCAATCCAAATATGAAGAAACTGAAGCCGGAGCAAGAAGAATGTTTAGTAAATGTCACTGAAGCAAAGATGTTGTGGCTCTACTCCCCACGGGCTCCGTTAGCGACAAAGGACATGGCTAATGCTAGGCTAACTGCTAAAGCTAGGCTAACTGCTAAAGCTAGGAAACATTCTAAAGCTAGGCTAAATGCTAAAGCTAGGCTACATGCTAAAGCTAGGCTACATGCTACAGCTAGGCTACATGCTAAAGCTAGGCTACATGCTAAAGCTAGGCTCCATGCTAAAGCTAGGCTAAATGATAAAGCTAGGCTGAAGGCTAAATGCCTCACTCACTCGGGCTCATTACATTCGTCAGATTGAAACTCAGATGGTTTCAATCTGCAAAAGGAGTTAGCCCCTCCCACCTGGTAACGGAGTCAATGGAGACAATCCAGACCTTAGAACAAATGAAATGAGTACCATGGTGTGGTAAGACCAGGTAAGACCAGGTAAGAGCAGGTAAGACCAGGTGAGACCAGGTGAGACCAGGTAGAACCAGGTAGGACCAGTTGTGGTTGCGTCTCTAATCAGTGTTTCAGAGATATTGTCCTTGTTCATCATCACATTATACAGAATTCACTTTGGAGAGACCCAAGAGGGAAAATGCAGTTAGAAGTTTGTTGATTGAGTATGTTTGGCGCCCTAGGCCCGGGAGAGATGCTGTTGAGTGCGGCGCTTGCTCGCGCGCATAATCCCCCCCGGGGCCTAGGCACTGGTGACGGCAGAGGCAGTAGGCAAGCACGCTTCGATGAGAGAAGGAGGAGGTGGGGCGGCGGAGGCTTTGCAAACTTCAGAAGGCCGGGAAAGTGGGCGTCTCCGGCTTTTAACTTGCTGTCCTGGTGGTTATTGGTGGATTAGATGTGGGCGTTTTGCTGGTGTAATGAGTAGAGGATGAGCAGCTTGTAGATCTGGCAGCAGTGGCCGGGTCTACCACAGTGAACTTTCGCGAAGAGCTTCATTTCACTTTGGAGAGACCCAAGAGGGAAAATGCAGTTAGAAGTTTGTTGATTGAGTATGTTTGGCGCCCTAGGCCCGGGAGAGATGCTGATGAGTGCGGCGCTTGCTCGCGCGCATGATCCCCAAAAACGGGCAGAGTTATCTTTGCGCGCCGGGACGTGAGCGCTCGCTTCACGATCAACCGGACGCTGTCTGGGACGTGAGCGCTCGCATCACGATTGATACCAGACGCTGTAGCAGAGTTGTCTTTAAGCGCCGGGACGTGAGCGCTCGCTTCACGATCAACCGGACGCTGCCTGGGACGTGAGCGCTTGCATCACGATCGATACCAGACGCTGTAGCAGAGTTATCTTTGAGCGCCGGGACGTGAGCGCTCGCTTCACGATCAACCGGACGCTGTCTGGGACGTGAGCGCTCGCATCACGATCGATACCAGACGTTGTAGCGGAGTTGTCTTTAAGCGCCGGGACGTGAGCGCTCGCTTCACGATCAACCGGACGCTGTCTGGGACG